TTTGAATGTCCTTGGCTAACCTGAAATTATGTAGGACAATTGGCAAATGCAAACAATTTGTTAAGCAGCGGGATATGCGAAACTTATCTTGCAAAGGAAACTGCTCATTTTTGTTCTTATTATTTTGAGAGTAATGTGCCATGTGCTAGGAATAGGCCCAACAGGCACACGGTCGACCTTAGGAATGATCCATTATATCCGCTTATGTCCATATTCAATCAACCAGGCCGATGTTCTAAGGATGGTAGAAAGAGAAGTTTGAGTGATATGGAGTTCAAGTCAGCAACACTTCACGTGTTGCTAAATTGTCCCGAAGTTGTACCATTTCTCAAGTAAGTATTGATTTAGTAGTTATCAAAATATAAAAATTACTGTGATTACATCTCAATGCAACTACTAAAAATATTTTATGTGTCACAGTCACTTTGTGGGTCAATTTGGCCATGATGCTGTATATACGAGATTTGATACGTGGTTCAAACAATTTGTAAGTTTCTCCTTAAAATATTCTAACACTATGTAGGTAAACAATGTTTGGAAGTTATGCTAACTTATGAATTTTTTTAACGATATGTAGGTAAATGATCCAAATAATGGTGTAAATCAATTTTCGAAAGATGTATCTTGGGGACCTGGGGTTGAGGTCACAACAATGTCTAAGTACGTTGTGAATGGTTATAAGTTTCATACAGAGAATTGCTCTGAAAATAAAAATAGCAACAACAGTGGGGTGTGGGTTCAAGGTGGTGATGGCAACCAAGATGGAGATATTGATTATTATGGTGTGCTCAAAGAAATAATAGAACTAGAATATACAGGTTGGCCATTTAAGAAATTGATACTCTTTAGATGCAAGTGGTTTGACCCACATCCAACAAGAGGTACAAGAGTACACAATCAATACAACATAATTGAGGTTAATCATACGAGGGAGTATGATCGCTATGATCCTTTCATAATTGCACATAATGTTAGGCAAGTGTATTATGCTCCTTATCCATTCGGCGGAATAAGTCCGATTGGTGGGTTGTAATAAAAACTAAGCCTGTGGGTAGGGTGGAAGTCGAGAATGTGTTAGATGTTGCATATCAAAACGATATCTCCAGTGTTCAATAGTAGACTAAGTTTTAGAAAATGATTTGGAACATCCTGAACACATATTGGAAGAAGTTGATATAAATGAAGTAAGAATAATAGAAAACGAGGAAAAAAAATCAACTGATGAAGCTCAAACTAGTGAGGAAGAAGAATTCTCGGACGAGGAACTATACGTCGATGAGCTTTAAAAAGTTGGTTTCTTTAATAACTCTCGTTTATAGCTAGTTTCTTTATATGTTTCAATCTAAATATGTATTATATTATGCAGATGACAGGCGAGGGTCGAGGTAACAATGATCCTACTGGTTCTCGGGGTCGAGAAAAGGCTAGGAAACCAACGAGGAGGGTAGAAGATAATACTCAATCTTTTCTTGCCTCTTCACAGATGCATGTGCCTATGCCTATGTCTTTGCCTCCACCCCAGGGCTATTCTGAGCTGCCACAGCATCACCAGCCCTACACCTACACCAGGTCTTTCATCACAGGGCCATAGGACTGTACGTCCGACATACAGTCCACCTGTCTCATGACCACGTGGATCGCAGCCATCAACATCTCATGGATCACATCGATCCATGTCACATCCACATGGATCACAGCCATCCGTGTCACAGACACTCGGGTCACACCACTCGGGTCACAGCTATCAGTGTCACATCCACTTGCGGCCCATACAGCTATGTCGCAGTCTCAGGGCTCGCAGTCCCAGGGCTCGCAGCCATATTCATCTGGGACTCCATCTATTGCAGGCCTTTGCCAGCAAGATACTAGCTCTGACCCCCCTACACCTTCCACACATGCCTCTGATATACATGCTTCGGACGGTGATGCTGATGATGACGAGGAGGTGCGTTATGATGAATATGGCAGGATCATCATAGTCCCTGAGGGTGATGGGTAAGAGTTATTTGTTATTTTTACTTTTATTGTTTTGTACAGTTTTACTAAGATATTAGTGTATTTTTTTTATTAAATTGCAGGTTCATCCCTAGTAATATTACTACAAGGATAATCACCAAAGCCACCAGAAAGCTTTATGATGGCCCTTATGCGACTTGGAGTGAATTCCCATTCTCGCTGAAGGAGCCAATTTTTAATCAATTTAAGGTATAAATGCTCTTTTAAGCAGTATAATTATTTATATTTATGATATTTCCATCTAAATATGTATTATAGAATATAGCTTAGCTTATATATATATCGAATTTAGCTTTATGGGAGGATTTGCAAAGGCAATGGTTTACCGTAGAGTTCTTGCAGAAGAGTGAAAAAGGAAAGAAAGCTCGTGCATCTGAGAAGGGAGGATCCTTGCACACTGGAGGTGCGATCAGACTAGGGACAATAAAAAGAAGAATGGTACGTAATTGCTTAATTTATTTTAATTTTCAAAGTATATCTATTCTGTTTATTAACTAAAATTTATGAGTTTTCAGGAAAAGAAGTTGGGGCATCCGATGAACCAAGATGAGCTATTCAAGGAGACTCATATTGTAAAGAAGAAGAAAGAGACGGATCAAGAAAGGTGGGTCGAGGGCCGAGCCTCGACTGTGCAGGTAAGTTTTCACTTTTCATTAAGAATTTTGATTTACTTTTATATAAATTTTGAAATACTAATTCAATGTAATTTTTCTTATAGGGACGCTTCACAGCTGAAGTGGAGCAATTCATACGCAGTCAGCCACCTAATGAGTCGGGCGAGCCAATCCAACTATCGGACGAGGATGCTGAAAGAATAAGGACGCAGGCTGCTGGCGGTCCAAAATGGGGGAAGGTATACGGGCTTCCTAATAAGAAATTCCATCGCTATAAGTGTGGAATGCAAGGAATAAGGACTTCCTCACAAGCCGAACAACTTGATGGGGAGAGCCTCTCCTCTATGTGGGAGACTGTGGCAAAGCTCACATCCGAGCTAGAAGCCGCCAAGGAAAGAGAAAAGCTTAGAGATGCTCAGTACATTAGCATGCAAGAGCAGATCAAATCTCTCCTAGCTTCTGGCAGTTTTCCGATTCCCCGGTCTCGTGAGTCATCGCCAGAGGCTCGCCTTCCCCGTGCTCGTTCCTCCCGTCCTCCCCGTGATCATTCTTCCCATCCTCGACAAATACACCCTTCTGGATACCTTCTTGGTGATGAAAGTTCATCAGACAGTGATGATAATGATGTACAGAACAATCCTTGACTTTTATACACTTTGAACTAGACAAATACAATCGATTTTCGAATGGTTTTGTAATAACAGTTAACTTAGTTTGGTTAGCTTAAAGTATAAAGTTCTATTGAACTTTATACTTGTTGGTTATAATGTTGTTGTTGTTGTGTTGTTGTTGTTTTTGTTGTTGTTGTTGTGTTGTTGTTGTTGTTGTTGCTTTTTATTGTTGTTGTTGTTTATTGTTATTGTTCTTGGCATAAAATGCCTGTTTAGGAATTTTGGTAAGCTGACAGGTGGTGTAGCTGCCAAAACAGGCAGTTTTTGCCAAAAATATAGCAAGCAAAGCGACCAACTTTGGTCGCTAGTTGGTCGCTANTCCTTTTCGATTTTCTAAAAGGAAAATCGAAAATTCAATAAAAATAAATAAGAGACTGGAAATGAAAGTCTCTTTCTCGGATCTATTCTTCATCACACTGTTGGAACAAAACAAAAATACCGGATGCAACGATATTGAAATATTTGGTACATGAAGCCACGATCTGATAGATATACATCGAAATCTACAATCTACTTAATATAATATAGATATATAATCTAGATAGAAATTAATGATGAAATTAATCTTTGATCTGGAATCAAAGAAAGATAATAAATGGCTCTTATGGTGTGACTTGGAAGAAAGGTTTCTCTGTAGAGGAAAGGAATAACAATTTATTTATAATATTAAAATATTGTAGCGATCAAAGTTGGTCGCTATTTTCTTTACCCGGAAAATTTGGTCCTTTTACCTGAGTGACCAAAGTTAGCGACCAACTTTGGTCACTAAGGTAAAGGGACCAGCTTAATATCGACCAGGCCTGTTTGGTCGCTTTTTGGCCAATAAGCGACCAACTTTGGTCGCTTTTCGTGGTCGCTAAAATCTGAATTTCTAGTAGTGTAATGCCCCTACACACGGAACGAAATTAAAGAAGTTTGAGAAGAAAATGACGAATCACGTGTTTTGTTATTTATATAAAAGAAAGGATTTTCATAGCTGTGTTTCCATTGACATTTTCCTTCGACAATTATTGAACTTATTTGATCCGGTTGCTAAATTCCCAGAGGGCTCTTTAAGTAAATTAAAAAGAATTGGATTGAGTTGGACACAGGTATATATCACATCCACTAGTCAAAACCTCAGTTAGAAATAAATGAGAAAGTTTCATAAAGCACTATCATTTAGAGCTTAATTAAGATGTGTAACTATAGTTTCATAAAGCAAGGCAAACTGTAATGGTATATATATATACAAAGGATACAGCTTATATCGGCTGTAATCAAGGCGAAATATAGTACAGAAAAATAGAATGATCTTGTTGAGAGTAAAACTCAAGATATCCGCTTACTAAGTAGGTGTTTTATCCAATTGGTTACGGGAGCTTGTTGGTTATTTGTTTCAGTTCAAAAAATTAATCTCTTGTTTCACTGCTAGGTATGAATTTGCTATAAAATTCAAATATAGCTATGAATGTTAATTTTCTAAAAGTATAGCTATGAATGTAAAATACTAGTATATATGTTTGTTGTGTCTGCGTAATTTTTCAGAAAAAATTAGGAGTAATTAATATTGAAATTTCTCACGTTCACACAAGTAAATTAATTGTCTATAAAAAAAAAGTCAAGCTTTAAGAAAATGATATAAAAAAATCGTAAGAATAATAAAGGTGCCACCTAATTCACATGGACTAATATTCAAATCCCTTTCACAACATTTTCTCCTTACCCACGCCAGCTATTTTTGGACTAGGTTGCAATTCATCAGCTATAAATAATGCAATCAAAATACTCAAGCATCAACCACTTCCGAATTGCCATTTTTCCCATTGACTGTCTTCAAAACCACTAGCTAGCACCAATATGGCCGAAGAGAAGCACCATCATCTGTTCCACCACAAGAACAAGGAGGAGGATGAGGGTCCTGTCGATTATGAAAAGGAAGTCAAGCACCATAGTCATCTCGAGAAAGTTGGTGAACTTGGTGCTGCTGCTGCTGGTGCTTTTGCCATGGTACCTATATGTTTTTATTTAATTTATAAGCTAACATAAATTTCCTAGGTGAGGAAGGTTCACATAAAATGAAAAGAGAGGTATTGAATAGCTAGGTTATGAGTAGGGGTAGCTAAATGATTAGAATAAAATAGTTAACAACCCATATTATCCACTAAAAAATGGGTTGAATAATGAATTTTTTAAACCGGATCAAATATGAATAAGAACCATATTATCCATTTAGAAAATGGATAACCTATGGATAACTAATAGGTTTAACTTTTACATTTGTAAAGGCTCAAATTGGGGGTTCCTCAAGTTTGGGAGACTAGTAATTCTTCCAAAAGTGATCATATTCAATAAGTCATGGATAATATGGTTACCCATATTATCCGCCCGTTCACCCGTTTTTTTATCCGTATTAAATATGAGTCGGATCGAATAAAAGAAGAAGTGTATTTGTCTCTATAATAATCTTGATTGAGTTGGCAAAGGGCAGCTCGGTGCGCAAAGCATCTCGCATTCACGCAGGGTCTAGGGAATGGCAGCAACCCCTAAGAGTGTGATGTAGATAATCTACCATATTGCAAGTATTAGTGGCTGCTTCCACAGCTTGAACCCGTAATCTATAGGTCACACGGAGAAAACCATACCCATTGCTCCAGGGTTCCCCTTCAATTATCTTGATTGAGTTTAGTTCTTCAATTTTCTTACTCTTCTTTTGTTTTGATAAAACATTTTAGCATGAGAAGCACAAGGAAAAGAAAGATCCAGAGCATGCACACAAACACAAGATAGAAGAAGAGATAGCAGCAGCTGCTGCAGTTGGGGCAGGTGATTTTGCATTCCATGAACACCATGATAAGAAGGATGCCAAGAAAGAGCAAAAGGAAGCTGAAGGAGGGAAACACCACCACCTTTTCTAAATTTAACTGCTTTTGAAATCCTATTTCATTATATTTCTTTGTGTTTTTAATTCTCTGTATTACTATGTTGGTGCTGTAATGTCTTATACTTGAACTGCCTAAAATAAACAAAAATGGAGTATGTACGTGTTTTATATCGAGTGTTCTATGTAATATCGACTGATTGGTATTTCTATATATGTTGATCGCCTTTTGATTTGGTGCAATCTTGACTTTTTATATGGGTTAATTTGGTATTTGAGACTCAGAGCCCGTTTGGCCAAGCTGCCAAAATCTGTTTATTTTGAAAAGTACTTTTTTTTAGAAGTACTTTGTTTAAAAGTACTTTTGAAAAAAAATTGTTTGTGTTTGGCCAATTCATTTAAGAAGTACTTTTTGCAATATTTGGTAAATAATTTGTGTTTGGCCAATCATTTCAAAAAGTGCTTTTGAGTGTCAAATTATCAAAAAGGATAGTACCAAGGTCGTATAATTCTTTTAATTATAAAAATGAACTTAAATATTTATCGTAAGATACTTTTATTATTTTTTTATTTTACTTAATTAATATATAAATCATAATGTAAACAAACATATTAAAGATTTAAATCAATTTTACATATATAGTTATGATATTATCTAGTATAATTACTTATTTTTATATGATGATTTGAATAATTAAAATAACATCATTCAGTATAAATTTGAAGTCTATTCACAAATTACTATATATTGATAATCCAGCATGAAATAATAAGTAAAGTCACTCACACATGATAATATTTTTAACAATTTAATCTCTACTTCTATCACACAGTCCCTCCATATTAGTAGAAGACTTGTCTCGCATTTCTAAAGGAATATGAGAATGCGTATCTCCTTCATCAATCTCTGCAGTAGTGTCAAACTTGAAAGATGGCACTGAGCGTAAAATAGAAATAATTTTAAATATATAAAAGAAGACCGTAAAAGAAATAATTAAGTATGTTTAAATTCTAAGAGTAACTAATTATTAACAACACATAATGTATAGTTTATTCTTTTAAAAAAATTTACATTAAAAAAAACTAATTATTACCTAACCTTGCTAACTTTGTCCTAAAATGCCAAGTGACCTATTGCGAGGCTGCCACTTGACTTAATCTGGATGTATTTTCTTCTTCTTTTAATAGTATATAGATAGATTATGCAATGCAATTGATAATTATTTAAAGATTCGGAAACTAATAGCATATAATAGAAGAAATTATAAATGATTATTTGTGGAAAGAGAATTGATAATCCAAAGAAAGATTTGCTTTAGTGTGAAAAAGGAAGAAGATAGTTTAGAAAGTTACAAGATATTACACAAAGAAAAAATCAAAACAAGAAAAGTCAATAAAATGTTGGAAAGTCACAATATGATTCATATATATATATATATATATATATATATATATATATATATATATATATAAAATGAAAAGAAAAAACTTAAATTAGTAAGGGATAATTTGAAAAATATAAATTTATGGTGAGGATAGTTTTGTCTTGAATAAATTAATTTTCTACTTCTGCTTCTGCTGCTTGGAAGAAGCTAGAATTTTGTGCTTCTTCCCAAAATCGGAAAAGCTGCTTCTGCTACTGGCTAAAAGTACTTCTTTGTATTGGCCAAACAGCTCAAATTTTTCAAAAAGTACTTTTTTGGAGAAAAAAGTATTTTTGGCCTCCCAGAAGCTTGGCCAAACAGACTCTAAGATCAGTAAGTTCAAAATTAATTCTTGATGATAATGTGTATACACAATTGGTCTACACCGCTTGAAAAAATAATTTGATGTGTTCACTTAAAATTTCCGAGTTAAATTGTACCCAAATCCGTGTACAAGATTAGTTGTACACTTAGAGAAGGTGTTGGGGAAGGCGGTGATGAGGTGGCATACCACATAATGTTCACCTCAACCAAAGTATAACAATAAGGTATATTATGATGAACATCTTACAATCCTTCGGGATTTACGAAGGCTCGAACCTGCGGCTTCCGCCAACGAGCAAAGGTGATCGCTCAAGAAAGGAGATTCAACCCTCGCGAAAGCTATTAAAAAGGGAAAATCTCATAAAATACTAGTAGTTGACACGATATGTGGTATAATTTTGCACTTTCAGGTTCAGATAATTTAACAATTTTAGCTACAAATATAATAAGAGATGGCATTGTACTTATGAATTAGTAATACAAAAACTAAAAAAGAAAACAAGCGAAAGGAGAAAGAAAGAAAACGGAAAAATACAGACATGATGAGGCATGAGCTTACGAGTTACGATCGGTCTCAAGTCTGAGCCGAATCGAATCGCATATCAACTTTAGCGTTTAGCTTCTAACATACCTTTAGGGCTCGTTTGGTATGAGGAATAAGGAATAATTAATACCGGAATTAAATTTAAGNATCACACAACGCTTCAATATTAGTAGAAGACTTGCCTCGCATTTCTAAAGGAATATCAAAAGGCTGATCTCCTTCATCAATCTCTGCAGTAATATCTTCACTAGCATAAAGTTGAATTCTTTATCGGTAAAAGAATATAGTCGGATGAAATTATGTATAACCATGGTAGTTGTAGCTAGATGATTTTGGGTGTCAAACTTGAAAGATGGCATTGAGCGTAAATAAACATAATTTTAAATATATAAAGAAAATCGTAAAAGAAATAGTTAAGTATGTTTAAATTCTAATTCAAAAAGAATAATGTTGGCCCCTAAATCACAGAGTGCCTTAGCAATGGCATAGTTCCCAATAGTGCATGGTATTGTAAAACTACCTGGATCAGATAGCTTTTCGGCAACAGGTCTAGATACCACTGCACTACATGTCTGAGTAAGGGTCACAGTCGACAAGTCTTGAAAGTCAAACTTCCGAGACATCAGTCCTTCATCATTTTAGCGTATCCCGGCATCTCCTTTAGCGCTTCAATCAATGGAATGTTTATCTGGATTTGTTTGAGCATCTCTAGGAACTTTTTATACTGCTCCTCCTTTTGATGCTTGGCCAACCTTTGCGGAAATGATGCAGGAGGTCTTTTCTTCCCAATCACTTGAGATTCTCTTTCTCAGCTACTGTCTCAACTATTGGCTCCGCTACTGTCTCAATTACTGGCTCAACTACTGTCTCAGTCTCTTGCTGCATATTCTTTTCTTCAGGAGCAGGCTGAACTGTTACCTCTGTCAATCCCGTAGAGTCATCCAGCTCAATAGGCACTGGAATTAGTGTCTCAGCCTGTATGTTTTCTCGAGCTCTCTCTTGCTCAACATCTAGATCCCTACCATTTCGTAGACTCACCGCCATCAGCTGCTTTGGGCCTTGATCTTTTGGATTTGGGTATCTGCAGGTAATGTCCTTTGAGGACGATTGTTAAGTGACATTGAAATCTGGCCCACTTGTACCTCAATATTCTTGATAGCTGCATCATGTGCATCCACCCTTTCATTTATTTTAGCATTGGACCCAATAACCTGCTGCATCATTGCTTCAAGCCTTGCAAACCCGTCTTCCTGTCTTCCACCCTGCTGTTGCTGAGGTGGGTGGTACCCTTGCTGCTGATTGTTGTACCCTTGTGGTCTAGGATACGGTGCCATGTTGTTGGGGGGTCTCATGCCTCCCATGTTTCCGGCGTTATACTGTGGCTGCGGTGGCCTGTACTGCTGCTGAGTCTGCTGACCCCAGTTCTGATTACCTTGCCTCTGACCCCCATAGTTAGCCACATAGTTCATATCTTCAGGGTGCTGGTGATGATGATCATGCTCTGCATTCCACGGATTACCAATTGGCTGGCTAATGCAAGAGGTGCACAAGCCCCCTTTGGTAGTGTCTACTATATGAACCTGTTGCTTCTGCCCTGATTCCTCCACTTTTTTGGTGAGGATGCTCATTTGCGTCAAAAGAGTCGCCATGTTTTCAGCCATTGTATTAGAAGGATCAAGAGG